GGAAAAGGAGAGAAAGGGGATCAGGGGGATTAAAGGAAGAAGAGGGAGGGAGGGTAGGAAGGGGAAATGGGGAGGTGAGGAAGAAAAGGGAGAAAAGTGGAAGTAACGAGAGGTAAGAAAAAATCGAAAAAATCCCGGAAGAAAAGGTTTCCTAAAAAGAAAAATACCTTGAGAACAAGAGTACACACTTTCAAATCTTAAAAATGAGGAGGGAAAGACAAAACCGAGGAAGAAGGAGAGAGAGAGAGAGAGGAGAGAGAGAGAGAGAGAGAGAGAGAGAGAGAGAGAGAGAGAGAGAGAGAGAGAGAGAGAGAGAGAGAGAGAGAAGAGAGAAAGAGTGAGAGAGAGAGTGAGAGAGGAAGAGATATAGTAAGAGAAAAAATGAACGAAGAATAAAAGAGAAATAATCAAATATCAAATACAGCAATCAGCAAAACAACAAAAGCGCCAAAAAACTGCGAAACAAAGAGAAGAAATTGGAACAAAGGAGTAAACAAGAGAGGCTTAAGAACACGCCAATGAATAGCATAAAGAGAACAGGCCTAAGGGAGCGGGGAGGGAAGGAGAGGGGAGGTCAAGAGGTCACACAGGAAAGAAGGTCAACAAGAGAGTTTGCAAGAACAACACTCATTTCAAGGAGATTCGTGGAGTTGCTCTGTTTGGAGTTGCATATAGCGTACTTGCGACACCGGTATGAATGCGTACCTTTGTACACAAGTAGACACGAATACGAGTAACGTATATATAAACAAGCGTATGTATCTATATATATTGCATTGCTATACGCACGTGTTTCTCTCTCCGTTTGTGTCTGTATATAGACATACATGCATACATACATACTGTACATACATACATATATTCATACATAAACACACACACACACACACACACACATACACACACACACACTCACATACACATATGTATAAACTTATGTATGTATGCATATACGTATTTATAAAATAAAAGAAAACATATTTTCATAAACCTAAAAGCGCAAGTGGAGACACAGGCACGTGGAAATACATAAACTGAAAAGACAATTAACGACTTTTCTTTATGCAAACTGATAAAAAAAAGACGAAAGAATCTCAAAGAACACGAAAAAGGGTGGAAACATATAACAAAAGGAAGACGAAAATTCCACTTTTTATTGTTCAGGAGATTAAAGCTTTTTGGTACAGAAATAGTCCTTTGAGCTCCAAATGGTCATGTTGGAATTGCTTTCAGAGTTGGCAATGACCTGCTTCCTCCTTCCTTCTTCCTTGAACCACCTGCTTCCTCCTTCCTTCTTCCTTGAACCACCTGCTTCCTCTTTCCTTCTTCCTTGAACCACCTGCTTTTCCTTCTTTGAACCATCTGCTTCCTCCTTCCTTTTTCATTGAACCACCTGCTTCCTTTCCTTCTTCCTTGAACCACCTAATTCCTCTTTCCTTCTTCCTTGAACCACCTGCTTCCCCCTTCCTTCCTTGAACCACCTTCCTCCTTCCTTCCTCTTTCATTAATCCCTGAACCACCTCCTTCCTCTTTACTTCTTTGAACCACCTGCTTCCTTGAACCACCTGCTTTCCTTTTCTTCCTTGAACCACCTGCTTCCTCCTTCTCTTCCTTGACCCTTGAACCTGCTTCCTCCTTCCTTCCTTGAACCACCTGCTTCCTCTTTCATTAATCCCTGAACCACCTCCTTCCTCTTTACTTCTTTGAACCACCTGCTTCCTCCTTCCTTAAACCACCTGCTTCCTCTTTCCTTCTTCCTTGAACCACCTGCTTCCTCCTTCCTTCTTCCTTGAGCCACCTGCTTCCTCTATCATTCTTCCTTGAACCACCTGCTTCCTCCTTCTTTCTTCCTTGAACCACCTGCTTCCTCCTTCCTTCTTCCTTGAACCACCTGCTTCCTCTTTCCTTCTTCCTTGAACCACCTGCTTCCTCTTTCATTAATCCCTGAACCACCTCCTTCCTCTTTACTTCTTCTTTGAACCACCTCCTTCCTCTTCCTTGAACCACCTCCTTCCTCCTTCCTTCTTCCTTGAACCACCTGCTTCCTCTTTCCTTCTTCCTTGAACCACCTGCTTCCTCTTTCATTAATCCCTGAACCTCCTCCTTCCTCTTTACTTCTTCTTTGAACCACCTCCTTCCTCCTTCCTTCTTCCTTGAACCACCTGCTTCCGCTTTCCTTCTTTGAACCATCTGCTTCCTTGAACAACCTACTTCCTCTTTCCTTAATCCCTGAACCACCTCCTTCCTCCTTACTTCTTTGAACCACCTGCTTCTTCCTTTTTCCTTGAACCACACTTCTTGAACCACTTCTTCCTTGAACCACCTGCTTTCCCTCTTTCCTTTCTTCTTGAACCCTTCTTCCTTCTTCCTGATCCTCTCCTTCTGCTTCTTCCTTGCTTCTTCCTTGAACCACCTTTCCTGCTTCTTTCCTTCCTTGAACCACCTGCTTCTTTTTTCTTGAACCACCTGCTCTTTCTTCCTTAACCACCTGCTTCTTTTTTCTTGAACCACCTGCTTTTTTTCTTGAACCACCTGCTTCTTTCTTCCTTGAACCACCTGCTTCTTTCTTCCTTGAACCACCTGCTTCTTTTTTCTTTTCTGCTTTTTTCTTGAACCACCACCTGCTTCTTTTTTCTTGAACCACCTGCTTCTTTCTTCTTGAACCACCTTGCTTTCTTTCTTCCTTGAACCACCTGCTTCTTTTTTCCTTGAACCACCTGTTTCCTCTTTCCTTCTTCCTTGAACCAATGCTTCCTCCTCCCTTTTTCTTTCAGCAACCTCCTTCTTTATTTCTTTTTCTTCCACCTTATTTCACTTGTATTACTTTTGTTGTATTCTATACCTTCTCCCTTTTTCCTTTCTTCCATTCTAGCTTAGTTTTTCACGTTGTTTATTTTTTTTCCTCTTCGATTTCCATCTTAGATCCTCTTTTCATACTTTTCCTTAATTCCTTGTTCTCTCTTTCCTTCGCTCTTTCCCTACATTGCCATTTCCCTTTCACTCTTTCCTTCCTCCTCATTTACCTTTCTCCTCCTCCATCCGTTTCTCCCGCTATTCCCTTTTCTTTCTCTCTTTCTTCGTATCTTTCTCCCCTCTCCCTCTTTCATCTATTCTTACTTCTCTCTTTCTATGTCTCCTGTCATCCTTTCGATTCCCCTCTCGCCTCTCTCTGTTTCCTTCCCCATCCATATATACATCTAAGTAAACATCTATTTCCCTCCTTCCCATCTCCCTTTTCCTTCTCTCTTTACCCTCCTTCACATCTCTTTTCTCCTTATCTCTCTCCTTGCTTCCCATCTCCCTTCTCCTTCTCTCTTTACCCTCCTTCACATCTCTTCTCTCCTGACCTCTTTCCCTCCTTCCCATCTCCCCTCTCCTTCTCTCTTTACCTTCCTTCACTTCTCTCTCCTTATCTCTTTCCCTCCTTATCCACCTCCTTTCTTCTCTCTTCCTTCTTCATCCGTTCCCCATGCAAATGCACACATCTTGCTCAACGACCTTGTACCAACACGCTACAATGATATAATGAGTAATTCTGGGAAAGTGATGGCTGCCAGAGTCAATACTATTTGTTCTCCGATATATAATGCCCATAAGGAAAGTGAATTAAGTGTAGCTACCTTGGTCCAAATCCTTGCTTTGGAACGTACTGCAATTTATGTGGCTTCTATCGATCTGTTGGTGTGTTCTGACTGTCTGTTTCTCTGCCTGCCTGCCTGTTTGCCTGCCTACCTGTCTGTCTATCTGTTTGTCTGTCTATCTATCTACACTTAGTCTTTGTATTTTTGTATGTCAGTCTGTATAACTAATCCAATGGTTCAAAACCTTTTTCATTCTGTGGCCCCCGACCAATATATAATAATCTCTATGGCCCCCGCTCAATGTCTGTTATCTTATCTAATTCAGTTATTACTCGTTATGGATAGCGTAATGGTGTCAATAGCCATAGTACAAGAACATCCTATGGAAAGATCCCAATTTATTGATATGAAAAGGATAATTATATATAGGTGATGCATGTGAAATAAAATTCGGTATAATTCGACGCCATAATTCCCATATCATTCCATGCCCCACCCCCCCCCCTAGAAAGTATCCCGTGCCTCCAGGTAAGGGCTCGGTGTACTTTCTATCTCTATCTATCTATCTACCTACCTACCTACCTATCTGTCTACCTACCTACCTACAAACCTATCTATCTATCTCCCTCCCTCCCTCCATATATATATATATATATATATATATATATATATATTATATATATATATATATATATATATATATATATATATATGTCTATACATTTCCATCAGCCTATCATCTCTCTACCAACCTATCTATCAATTTATCATTTTATGTACTTACCTACCTACAAACTCATCTATTTATATCTATTTATATTTATCTTTCTACATTTCACTTTATCTTTCCTTCTCTCCCTCCCCCCTATCTTTCCTTTCTTTCTTCTTTCTTTCTTTCTTTCTTTCTCTCTCTCTGCCCTTCTTTTTCCCCCACTCTCTTATTTTTAATATCTACTTACCATTATCAACGGTACTTTCAGTTTCAAAATTAATAAACATGAGTGGCTTGCATTTTATATTTCTCTTTAAAGAAAAGTTCACAAATATACGGTGATATATTTATTTCTACAATCCATTAACTTCAGTCCATGGACTTGAACCACATTATGCTAATGACGCAGAATCCAGAAATGCCTTTATAATCCTATACTTGTATTACATCACACTAGTTATTTTTCTTACCATTATCATTATTAATATATCATTACTATAATCATTTAATCATTATTAACACCTTAATATTATATTTTATTATTGTTATTATAATTATCATTAATATTATGTAAATAAAATTTAAATATGTACATACATACCCATGTATATGCCTCAGTCCATTTACTATTTCTGTTTAGTAATGCGCACGTAACTCCTATTAATCTTACATATTCCACAAGTAAACACGCTAATTTCATATCTTACCGTATTCCATAACTCTCGTCACGTTTAGGGACTCTGAAAAGGATTAAAATGGATTAGATGTGAGATTAAATGTTCCGGGACACGTTCCAAATGCATAGGGAAGAAATTATTTGCAATGGTTTTAGGATATTGCACAATAAAGGATAACAGATAAATGAAACATGTGTTGACAGGTCCTTTTTTATCATCATCATTATCAATATCATCACTGCCATTGTTATTACCATCAATATTATTGCTTTTATTACTATTTTCATTATCATTATCATTGTTATTATTAACCATATTATCCTCATTCTCAGCATTATCATTATGATCATAATAATAAAAAATATTATTATCATTATCATAACTATCATGATCCTTATTACTATCATCATAACTATTACTAAGATCGTTAACATCATTACCATTATTATCATCGCCATTATCATAATTATTATTATCATCAACATAATCATTATTATTATCATTATCACTATCAGGATTATTATCATCATTATGAATATCATCATTATCATTATGAGTATTATCATTATCATCATCATTACCATTACCATTACCATCATCATTGGTAGTAGAAATAGTAATAGTAGTACACGACTGGTATTGTTGCTGTTGTGTTAATAGCGATGATAGTGATGGTGATCGTGATAATGTTGATGATAATGACAATTTAAGTAATGGATGCAATAACAGACTTCCTTTGACGAATGATGACTCCTTTTCATCAAGAAATTTTCACACTCTTGTGTCTTGTCTTTTCGGTCAAATAATCTTTTTCTCTTTCCAAATAATGCGTCTTTGTTTCCAGAGACAATTTCTCGTCACTTTTTCTTAAGTTCTTACACGGAGAATTTTGGCTGTTTTATCTCTTTTTCATTTTCTCTTTCTTGTCTTAAAGTTCTGGCTCTCTGTTAGTGTTCTTTTTTCTGTTTCCTCCTCCCCTTCTTCTTCTTCTTGTTACTATTAGCATCATTATTATTCCATTATCATATTCTTATATTTCGCTTCTTATTACTTTCCTCCTATTTTTTCTTCCCATCATCATTATCGTTATCGTCATTCCCACAATCATCGCCATCTCCTCGTTCTTTTTCTCTTTCCATACTTTTATCTTCTTCATCCCCATCTTCCTTTTACCCAAACACACCTCTTCCTTTATATTAAATTCACAACTCTTTTTCTTTATTTTATCTGTCAGCTGTTATTATTTCCCTCGCAGCCAAAATGTTTCTCACGAGGTGGCTTTGCAATATCATTGTCATGCAGTCTTAACAGTTTTGCAATGTATGGAATGCATACACTTAGGATTATACTTATTGCAGTAATCTTAAATGCAGCCTCCTTCACGCAAAACCTCACTTTTTTTTTCCTTCACAGGAAAACGTGTATTAAAGGAATGCACCACTTAGTTCATGACGAGAAATAAAGCATATACAAAGACAATATTATAAATCAATAATAACAACAACAAAACAGTAATAATAATAATAATAACAACATTGCAACAATACTAATGACAATAATAATGATCATGGTAATAACAATAATAACAATAACGATGATAATAATAATAATAATGATAATAATAATAACAACAATAATAATAATATCAATAATAATAATAATAATAATAATAACAATGATAATGATAATAATAATAATGAAAGTAATATCAATAATAATAATCATTATTATTATTATAATAAAAGTGATGATGATGATAATGATTTTGATGGTAATAATAATGATGATGATGATGATGATGATGATGATAATGTTGATGATGATGATGATGATGACGATGATGATAATAATAATCATAGTAATGATAATATTAATAATTATTATAATAATAACAATAAAAAAATAAAATAATAACAATAAATAATAATAATAATAAAAATAATAAAATAACAATAATAATAATAACACACACACACTCACACTTACACTCACTCTCTCTCTCTCTTCATTTCTGAATTTCCAAATATGTTTAAGATTCAATGAAGAGAGTGACACCTAAGTAAATAGTGGTAATGATAATAATAACATTAAATGATAGTGACAATAATAATAATAATAGCGATAATAATCATTATGATAATGTTAAAAGTAATAATAATAATAATAGTAATAATAATAATATTCATAACAAAATATGATTTATGACAATAAATTAAATAAAAATAATAACAATAATAAAACTAATAATAAAGATAATGATAATCATAGAAATAATAATAATAATAATAATAATAATAATAATAATAATAATAATAATAATAATAATAATAATAATAATAATAAATAATAATAAATAATAATAATAATAATAACAATAACAATAATAATGAGAATTACGACAATAACAAAAGATAATAATAATGATAATAATAATAATAATAATAATGACAAAGATAATGATAAAGACGACAGGAATCGTAATAATAATGATATGATGATTAAAATGATAATGATTATAATGAAAAAAATGATCATATAAATAACAACAAAAATAATACAAATG